GTGTGATTTTATGTTTTATGTTTTTGATATTTCTTGTGATCTTATTGTGTTTTCTAATGCCCTGTGGGATTTTAATTTATTTTTTTTTTATTTTAATGTTTAGGATTTATACCAAATGTGATGTGGGTTGTGAGGCGCTTTGTGTTGCCTTGTGTATGAAAGGTGCCGTACAAATCAAATGTGGATTGATTGATGATGATTGTATTAACAGGACATATATGAAGATAATATACAGTCTGTGGGTGGGACATTGTAATAATAATGCATTGGTTTTATATATAGCCATTGTGCACAAGGCCCTAATGTGTGAAGTGTGGTTTTAAAGTGAGGCCTTGAGCAGCCGCACTTCTGCACAGACTAAATATTTTGCCGCGTCAATATTGATTTTAAGTGACCGGTAACAACAAAAGAACGCTAAGCTAATTTATAATGAGCAACAATATTATCTTAATGTTAATGTAGTTTTAAACTTTTTTTTTGTTGAAAATGTTGAAGGAGACTTTTCTGTTGCAGTGCTGAGCTCCTGTGGGAGGAACTGACAATTTTCTTAGATATTTAGAAAACCTGAATCAATACAATCTAAGTTTTACATATTTTGTTACAGGAAGGCTAACGCATGCGCAAATGTGTTTTTTTCACATTTTCCTGCACCGCGGCCATTTTGAAAAAGCCCATAGAAGGAAAAAGTGGTGGTACATTCATTTCAACGGTGGAGATACGCCTACGTCCTCGATGCTAAACACAGAGCAGCTAGCACGGACGTTAGCCCGAGTACAAAGACCCACACCCGAGCCACACTCCACCGGGCACTGCTTTATGGATCAGAAGAACTCAGTCCACTTCTGATCAAATGGATCAACAGCCTGGCTCGCTGGGTTACACTCCACTCCAGACTTCTTTCAGTGGTAGAAGGTAAAGGCCTGAAAAATGTATTACATTTTTAAATATTCTATTGCTAAACTCAATGGCAAAAGTTGGACAAAAAGAAAACATTTTGTTGCCTAAATGTCTGTATTAATGTCTGTCATTATTCAATGGTATACTGAAAATACATGTGTAAAAAAATACTCACTGTTCTCAGGTCAAATATGTACAGTATATGCAATTATTTGATCACAAAGCCTCAAATGAATTAGATTATTTTTTTAACGGGTTAGCCGACGTCCATAAGTGACCAGTGGGTCAGAGCACACTTTTTTGGTGTCACATTTGCTCCGGTTAAACCAAAATCTGTCCGATTAAAGTGGCCTGGGACCAGTGGGGGCGGTCCCGGCTCAAAAGAGGCCAAAATGACGTGCGCTGACAATACCACCCCGGGCCGATGGGGGTGGACCCGGAATAAGAATTAGCCAATGCTAACATATAGCATCTTCTTACCTCTCAAAATCATCTTTACAGGATAGTAAAAGTTGGCTCTTGGCCCAAAGCTCCGTTCCACATGTGTGTCAATGCTGAGGGGAGTGTTTTGGACCAGTCTAGTTTAGTCGCTGTGAATTTTTGAAGTCTCTTGTTCAAATAAATGGAGTTGCGCAGATGCGTTTTTTCACAATTTTCTTGTGGGCGGGACCACTCGCGGCCATTTTGGATTGCTCCAGCAGAGCACATTTTTTGGCCCATTAGTTTGAACGGCGGAGATAGGCGTGACTCTGTCCGTTAATATATACAGTCTATGCCTGGGACGTGTGATTGCAACTTTGACTTCTTGAGCTGATGATTCATTGATATCGAGGTGTTTGAGTCAAAGACCATTTTGCACCATATGTGTTCTAACATGTCAAACCTCATCCGTAATTTATGCCTTAAGTTCTTTGTAACATTTTAATTAAATCCTTACAGTGCATTTTTGTAATAGAAACACAGGATCTATACCCCTTTCTGCAAGGTTTTTTTCCGTTTTAATGTTTAGCCCCGCCCTCAACTCGCTCACAGGCTTCTCATTTCCCCTACGCTCTCATCCCACGGAGCCAGTTTTATTTGCGATCTGATACATATGCAAACATTAGCATGAGCGCAACTTCTTGTAAGCTGCACAACAATCACTGATGAAATGGTACAAAAGCAACGCACTGCTAACAAAATACGTAACTGTAGCCAGAGGACGCAGCCTGTTCTAACAGCGCCGCTCCTTGTTCTGTGAGTGGAGGAGAGAGAGCGTCACGCTAAGTCTCTGTTCAGCACTTTTTACGGCCTGAATTTATACACAAGCTGAATCAATGAAGTTGATTCAGCTTCGAAGTTTCCAATTAAATTACGGATTTTAATACAACTTGTATGTAGTAATACGCATTTTTATGAACTCGTTACAAAATAAATCAGGTATAGCATCTTTAAAGGCAGAGGTATGCTAAAGAGCCGTGGGCCGTGCCCTGACCATGATGGTGCATCTCTAAAGCGGGTGGAGCAGTGTGTGAGGAGGAGGGCTGTCAGCACCAGGACAGGCGGACAGCTCCTTTGTGCGCTCACATTAATTAGAATCCTTCTGGACGACCATTACAGCTCATTAAGACGGCCATGGTCAGGGAGCGGCTCCACCCCCTCTGTCACCGCGGTTACATGCACCGGGAAAACGGCCTCGTCAAGTTGAAATAGATTAAACATTATACACGTGAACCTGGCCCCGTTGATTGAGGATTGATTAAAGGCGACATACTTTGCCAAATTGACTTCTATGAGGTTTAAATCTTGTTAGTACTGCTATCATAAAAATGTGGTGCAAAAGGTAATCAAAGTGCAACATTACCATTACCTCATCTAAGCATTTCCAATTAAAGTTCAAGTCTGTTATGGCCAGAGTCAGACACACCGGAAGATGGGAGGGAATGTGTCTGAAACATGTTTTTTAAGACTCTCTGCCAAAGACAAAAAACACAGACAATATCACAAGTACATCAGACTGAGTTCAGGTGTTTCCACTGATTGTTGTAAAGATGTTTCAACAACCTGCACACCTGTTCTACTGGTTTCACTTGTCAGAGCAGAAACCAGGCCATGAGGTCTAAGAAGCTGTTTGTAGACCAGGGGTGTCAACTTCACCATCAGCTGAAACTGATACAGACATGAAACTCTGCAGCATTCTCATGCTGTTTTACGTCTGCTCACATCCTCCTCATATCGTGACCAATCAGGTGATATTGGATTATTTCAAAAGCAACTTATCAAGGCCAACAAACGTGCCCCGGCCCATAGGTTGAAAAACACTGATGATAAATATCACTGTAGGCAAACAGTGTCTTATATTAGGATGCAACTATTTTCACTTTCCCTTAGATTGAGGAAATAGTCTATTATTCATCTGTAGGAGAATGATAATGACGGAGGACGGCTGCTCTGTCAGTGACAGTATCGCCTTAATCTGTCAGTGGGGGCTTCAGGTAAAGTGGGGTTCAGTGTCTTGCCCTAGGACACAACGACAGCAGATATCAGTGGGAGTCGTTGGAGAACCAGGACACCCCCACACCGCACCAGGACACCGCACCATGGAGCCGTCCACAGTCCGGTTGTATAAACCGTCCATGTCACGATGATGGCTTCTCAAATGTTATTTCTGACGTATTGACTATAATCCATAAAACAATCTTTATCTGAAAGGGATCTTTTGTTCTGATTCGGTTCCAGAACTGACATCAAAGTACTGTACAAGAAATGACGCCTTCAGATCCCATTTAAGAGACTGCAGCTACAGCTAATTAACTTAATTTACAACTGTATCAATTACTGAATTGATAAATGTGCCAATTAATGAATATTGTGATGTCGCACACATGTCATCAGTTCTGATGTATTCACTGCTGCCACAAAGTAAAGCTACTTACGCACTTTCACTAAAGTTCAGCTGCATTAATTATGGGCTGAACTGCTGCTGTACTTTCCTGTGAGGGGGAAAACGGCATGACCGAAGTGGTGGGTGGGCTTTGATGCTAACGCTGGTACTTCCGCATCGGCGAACACGTTAGCAACACTTATTTAGAGTCACGGTAGAAACTCAGGATGAAGACGTACGTTCACAAGCACAGCGTCCTCCATTGCTCTCTGATTGTTTGCCGCAAATGTGGCAACCAATCAGTTTTATGTTTCCTATAGAGCTCTCTACATGTCCCGGTCATTTTTTGGTGCAAATTAGATCAAATCTTACTTTTGAGCCTAAAACGTCTGTGTGGCGCCCTCTCCACATTTTCGGCGGTACTTTATTTGAATTTGGTGCCTGGCCTTTCCATTGTCTCTGGAGTAATGTTTGACCTCACCCACCTCCTCCTTGTCCCCTGGTCCTGGCAACGCCCTTTTCACACATGTCCACACACGAGAGTTCGTGTCACGGTGCGCGGCCACTTTATTTTTCTTGCAGTGTTCCTCTGGGATTTCACAAACAGGAGAGTTCTTTAACAGCCACAACAACAGTATTTACATTAGATACTGGTCTCTTTATTGAAAATGCATTTTACATTCTTAACATATAACAACAGTGTGATTTTAACATGTGTTCTGACAAAACCGTTTGGATGTGTGTCTTACCTTAAAAGATTGATATGCAAAAGAGCAATGTGCTTTTGGTCTCTTTATTCATTATTCATTGCACTTGGTGTTTGGTATTTTTATTTTGTGGAGATGAAAAAAACATTTTGAGTTTTGAGTTCAGTTCAAATAGTTTATTTGAGCTCAGTGCAACACATACAATGTATTGCCAATGTTTGTTTACGTGCTGTATAGAGCTCAAAAGGAGACAAAGAAAATAAACAATACTTACGCCTCGTCTAGATCGGATAATAATAGAATAATTGAAATTTTGACTCGGCTTTGATATATTTTAGCCTGTACTACACCAGAAATATGATTTTGATTTGGCCTTGGTTAAAATAAATTGGCCATGATTTGTGTTGCGCAATACTAATGAATTAATGAATGTTTATTTATGGATTATTTTAAAAACTCTAACAATATGAAATATTTATGACATCATTTCCTTAAAGGTATTCTAGAGAATTCTCTTCTTCTGGGTGGATCATCTAGACCAGGCATGTCAAAGTCAAATACGTCAGAGGGCCAAAAAACAGAGCGGCTCCTACTGCAGCGACTCCTGCTGCAGTAGCTCCTGCTGCATGTGCTCCTTCTGCAGCGGCTCCTGCTGCATGTGCTCCTGCTGCAGTGGCTCCTGCTGCATGTGCTCCGGCTGCAGTGGCTCCTGCTGCATACGTGTGCTCCTGCTGCAGTAACTCCTGCTGCATGTGCTCCTTCTGCAGCGGCTCCTGCTGCATGTGCTCCTGCTGCAGTGGCTCCTGCTGCAGTGGCTCCTGCTGCATGTGCTCCTTCTGCAGCGGCTCCTGTTGCATGTGTTCCTGCTGCATGTGCTCCTTCTGCAGCGGCTCCTGTTGCATGTGCTCCTGCTGCATGTGCTCCTGCTGCAGTAACTCCTGCTGCATGTGCTCCTTCTGCAGTGGCTCCTGTTGCATGTGCTCCTTCTGCAGCGGCTCCTGTTGCATGTGCTCCTGCTGCATGTGCTCCTGCTGCAGTAACTCCTGCTGCATGTGCTCCTTCTGCAGTGGCTCCTGTTGCATGTGCTCCTGCTGCAGTAACTCCTGCTGCATGTGCTCCTGCTGCAGTAGCTCCTGCTGCATGTGCTCCTGCTGCAGTAACTCCTGCTGCATGTGCTCCTTCTGCAGCGGCTCCTGCTGCATGTGCTCCTGCTGCAGTAACTCCTGCTGCATGTGCTCCTGCTGCAGTAACTCCTGCTGCATGTGCTCCTTCTGCAGCGGCTTCTGCTGCATGTGCTCCTGCTGCAGTGGCTCCTGCTGCATGTGCTCGTGCTGCAGTAGCTCCTGCTGCATGTGCTCGTGCTGGAGTAGCTCCTGCTGCATGGAATATGTTCTCATTAAAATCAAAAGGTCCATACCATGGTCTAAACCAGGCATGTCAAAGTCAAATACATCAGAGGGCCAAAAAAAAATGTTTTGCTATGCGCCGAGGGCCGGACTGGTTCAATGTTTCTCAACATCCAGAGGCAGTGCCGGTGACACCTGTTGGCTCGATAAAATATGCTCCAAAGCCAATCCTCATACTGTACATATTAGATGTAATAGACATCTGAGAACATGAAAATAGTAAAAAAAAAAAAGCTCAAACTTGGTGAAATGTAAAAGAGCAGTCTGGACCTCTTTTCGGGGCCTTTTTTGATTAAATCTGCAGAATGGATTATACTTTGGGAAATACAAGTGGATATTCTTCTTCAATGAACAGTTACGGAGAGAAAGAGACTGAGCAAGGATGGGGAAAGTCTAATTTGTTGGAGCAGCAGAAGACGAAAGGTAAAAAACTAATACAGACGTGATTTATTTTGTGCCCATATTATGCGTTATATCTTTTTAATGCAAAGTCTGATATCGTTTACACTTACATATAAATATAGCTGAGAAAATAAGCTTTAAAATGAAATATAGCTTGTGGCTTACGAAGTTCAAAATACATCTGCTATTGCCAGCAGATTGCTGGCCCCCTTAAGGGGTCAATACATTGCCTCAATGGCAGGTAATGTCAAAGTCAAGGCCCGCGGGCCAAATCCGGCCCGCGGGCCTTGACTTTGACACATGTGGTCTAAACTGTTTAAGATTGTATTTATATTTAATTTTCAGAATATTGAAAGGGGTGTGAGTCATTTCTCTGACCTGAAGCCAAGAATGTACATCTTTGCACATTCTGTTCATCGAAAATTTATAAATTATTGTTAAAAGTCTTCCTCCCCATCCATCCATCCATTTTCTACCCCTTAATCCATTTCTGGGTCAGGGGGGTGGCAGTCAGAGCTGCACCCAGTACACTTAGCACCAGCCCCTCACTGACCCTCTGCAGGTGGTGAGTCCACAGGAGGCTGCTCTCTGAGTGTGAGCATAGCCTTGATCTTTCAGCGGGGGCTTTGGGCAAAGTGGGGTTAAGTGTCTTGCCCAAGGACACAACGACAGCAGATATCAGTGGGAGTCGGTGGAGAAGGTGCAGAGGTGGGAATTGAACCCATGACCTTCAGGCCCAAAGGCCAATGCGCTAGTCTTTCCTAGTCCCTAGTCTTTCCTCCCCCATTTTGCCAAACCCACAATAATTGATCTTAAATTTGAACTTGTAGGTATTATTTTGCAGCAGATTGGAAGAAACAGAAAAACCAATTCATGTTCTTATTTTCTGCTTTTTGAACAAAAATCCTTTTGAGAGATTGTTGTACAGACCTTAAATACAAAGTGGTTTCAGTCTCTGGGACATATTGAAATATAAAATATTCTGCGTCTGAATTGGGAAAGCTTTTACTTGATTGTTTTTCTTAATTCATTTGGAATTTTGGCAAAAATCTGAAAGTTGTAGAATGTGTCCGCCCACACTCCTCTGAGAAACCATTCTTCTATAAAAACACTTTTCCCGTTGATTGATACATCTGTTGTGCTTTTGTGAGGTGTGAACGATGTTTGAAGCTAAACTCCAGGAAAGAACAACCTGCTGAGGCTGAATGTGTAATTTACCAATTTTGAAATCACAATTTAGAGGAAAATCAGTTGCCACATGTTATTCTAAAATCATATCGGGTATAAAAGAAAATGTTTTAAGCATTATTTTTACTTTTTATTTAACCCGGATTGAAAAAAATCATCGGGAATAAAAATCTGCTAAAGTACAAATAACGTTAATTTTTAATGTTTAGATAATGTTTATAAATTATCTACAAAGCACTGCCTGTAGTTGAAGTTCATATGAGAGCCGTTTAAAACCGCGAGACCAGAAGATTCAATTAAAATCCCTCAATTCCAAAAGTGTGCAGCAGTTGGTCAGGCTGTGCTCAGTGAGAGACCGGGTCCAGAGAGCGGAGGTAGTTCTGAGCCGGAGGAGATAAGAACGCACCAAGCAACAAATCTGTGACATGCCTCCTCCAGATAGGAGCTTTTTAGTCCTTCTTTAATAGAATATTGATTGCCTTTGTAAATGTAGTTCCAATTACATATTCCTTGTTTGAGCCTTTTCTGCAGTGGAACCAGAGAAAGTTATAATCTGTATTTACTCGTGCATTTGCAGCCGATGAAAAGGTATTTGTACCCCCCCGATGGACATCTCCCGACGAGGCTCTAAACTTTCCTGATACGATTCCACTGATCCTGTTTAAAGGCGCTATACCCGTTTCTGCAAGGTTTGAATGTTTAGCACCGCCCCCAACTCGCTCACAGGCTTCTCATTTCCCCTACGCTCTCATAACACAGAGCCATCTAGACTTATTTGCGATCTGATACATATGCAAACATTAGCGTTAGCGCAACTTAAACTGTCAACAATCACTGATGAAATGGTACAAAGGCAACAAGCTGCTAACAAAATATATAACTGAAAGATTACTGCTGGTTCCGCGCCCGAATGTAGTCCGAGCATAGATAGTCCGAGCAGATAGTCCGAGCATAGATAGTCCGAGCATAGATAGTCCGAGCATAGATAGTCCGAGCATAGATAGTCCGAGCGTAGATAGTCCGAGCATAGATAGTCCGAGCATAGATAGTCCGAGCATAGATAGTCCGAGCATAGATAGTCCGAGCATAGATAGTCCGAGCATAGATAGTCCGAGCATAGATAGTCCGAGCATAGATAGTCCGAGCATAGATAGTCCGAGCATAGATAGTCCGAGCATAGATAGACAAGTCTCTCCAGAGGATACAATGTAAGCTAGCTATGTTCACCCGGGCTTGGTTTCTTCTTTGATCATTTTTTCGCTTTAGTTCCCTCTTCTTAGTTATAGCCACTTATGCTAACATGCTACTGTGTTTAGCAGCGCTGTAGAGGCTAGAGGAAACAGCCTCGTTCTGTGATTGGAGGAGAGCCAGCGGCCCGCTAAAAATCATCTCAGCACTTTGAAAGGCCTAAACTCAAGCTTATGCTGAATCTATGAGTTCTAGTTTTCAGTTAAATTACACATTTTAATACAACTTGTATGTAGTTATACAGATTTTTATTAACTCAATATAAAAAAAAAATCGGGTTTAGCTTCTTTAACTAGCACCGGGTCTTTTTCAGAACCTTCTTGGCCCTGGTTCTATCCAGGCTGAACTGGTACTAAACTGGCAGCTGTACTCATTTTGTGAAAAAGTAGAATGATTCCTGCAGGAATACGGGCACCTACACTGCAAAAAGTGATTTTAAAAAATTGCTAAAATTTGGTTATATGTATCTTAATTTGAGCACATTTTGACTGTCTTTAAACAAGATTTGGCAAAGGGACAAAGTAAAAATATCTTGTTTTAAAAAGATACAAGTAACAGATCAGACCTAATGGTTTTGTCCCATTGGCAATTTTTTAAGTCAGAATGTGTTCAAATTAATATGGAAACCACTCAATTCAAGCAATTATTACCTCATATTTTATCTTTTTTTTGCAGTGTAATGGAATGATAAATTCCACCGCTCAAACAACTCTCACTAAAGATGAGCTCCCATTGAACGCCTCTGTTTCAGTCTTTGGAAGGACTGCAGCTCTCGCCCTCTGCTGGCCGTGCGCTGCTTTGTACAGACACAAATCAAGGCGGAATTCTTATTATTGCATTGTTCTCTACAGGTTGAAGATCTGAAACCATACAGTCAAAAACAGGTATTTCAACAGGTATTTCAGTCTTTTTCCTACATGTCTGTGATCTTCCTCTGGTCATTGCTCTGAAACCCTTTCTTACACTCGGCTCGAGCGGGAGGCAGACACGCACTCGGAAGGCCCAGTTTCCATGGTAGCAATACATTCTTCTGACGACTTTGTTGTGTAAATGTGCTTTCATTCTGAAACGCTGGTTTTACTGATCATATCTCAAAGACAGATTATTAGAGGGTAGATTGGCTGGGTTTATTAACATGTATCGGTGCAAACAGGTTGGTTTGAAAGCCAGCTTAGCTTTGCAGGAGAACACACGTTCACAGAGACATGCGGACATCATTATATGTCTGTTGTGTGGGCGTCCCATTGAGTATACGCCGATGTAAATGAACCTTATGCTAATGATCCTCGGGCCCGCTCTGCTACAGTCAGCTCTGTTAGCTTAAGTGCAGCTCCAGCCTGCGCCTCAGACCTCCTCTCAAGAGCCCCGTCCTCATTCATTCTGCAGAAGGGCCGACCTGGGCCTCGCCACCGTGATGAGAGTGTTTATGGGTGCTGATTAGGGCCCCGCAGTGGCTCCCCGCCATAATGTAGAGCATTGATTGGAGACATGTGGCCCTCAGATGAAGTCCCTGTTCTGGCGGAGTGTTCTGGTGATCAGCAGAGACGCAGAAGTCAGGTGATCATCCAGATGCTGCGGCTCTATTGACCCGGGATCACAGTCATCTGGAACTAATGGTTTTGCAACACGACTGAGGCGAGAGCTGGTGTGTATGAACAAACAGATGTATATGACATTCTTTGATTACATTAAAGTAGCAATATGTAAGATTTTCATGTCAAGTCATCATTAAATGGCCCTAATCTGTCAAAAGGCATTGATAAAACATGCTCTTTTCAAATACTTTGGATTTGAACATTTGTTTAAATCTTTCAATAAATTTCAATGTCCCGCCCTCCACTGTTTTACCAATCAGAAAGTCTGTGATCCAGGCGCCAGAATTCACCGCCTTGAATGGTAAAGTACCATGTGGCCGCAGAACTTAAAAAGGTCTTGTTAGGATTCTGAAATAATTAAGGACAAAACAAGGAATAAAACCAGGATTTCTATCTTTGTGCAAAAAGGTGTTGGTTAGATAAGATAAGATAAACCTTTATTTGTCTCACAGTGGAGAAATTTCAGATTATATATTATAGATTATAGATCTGTATAGATCTGGGGCGACAGTAGCTCAGTTGGTAGAGCATTGGTCTTTGGGC